CCCTCCCAACCGACCCAACAGATAGTTTTAAGTCCATCTTGCATATAGCTGATGACTCTATCAAGAGAAAAAATAAAACTAGAGAAAATAAATGCTCGGTCACTTTCTCCGCTCAATCCTGCGGCCGGCAGATGTTACATACTCCCGAAGATTCACAAACAAGGTAACCTGGGCTGACCAATTATCTCCTGTATAAACACTAGAACCCAGAACTTGTCGCGCTATGATGGTTCCGTTATTAAAAATATTCCTGAGACACTTCCATAATTCGTCAAGGACACCAATAATTTTCTTCAAGACATTTTCTTAACATTCCCTAAAATGCAATATTGTAACACTGGACGTCGCCTCACTTTATACAGAGAAACCTTGTTAAACTGTAGTTGGCCGGAGCTCGGAAAAAGTACGTACTAAACGGTAGTACTGCTTAACCGAAATAGCGTCAGGTCGCTCACTTACCTGTCAAAAAAAGAAGCCTTCGGGGAGTGCGATGAAAGAACAGAAAATGTGCAGTAATTTAATAACTTCGTGTGACAAAGTCTGTAATCTTCATTTGACGATGCGGTGGCCTAGCAGCAACGACAGCGGCCTCAAACTCACTTATGCTGGGAGCCAGCTTTTCCGCCAGCCCCCTCTTCTCGGCAAATACTCGCATGACGCTGACGCAATGCGCAGCTTCGGCCACTGTCGGACCTGGATCACCCGTGTTGTCGTTTTCCATGTCGTCCTCATCACTATCATTTGACGACACTTCGACAACCGAGGCAACAATGGCTTCGTCGGACATGTCCGGAGATGTCTGCGCATCGCTGTCTGGGTCTCTGAAGTCGGGGAAGGAAATGCCTTCCGTAACGCCCTGCCGCTCAGCACTTCAGCTAGCAGAGTTTTGCAAGGTTCGTCTACGATGTCCGAAGTCTGGTCGATGGTGTCACTGGCGTCATCTGCATCCCCCGCACACACACTGAAGCCAGCACGCTTGAAGCAATTTTGAACTGTCGTTGCTTCAACCTGCCGCCACGAGTATTCGAGCAGGTGAATCCCGCCAATCAGGTCGATATAGAATAATTTGCCACATTCAATAGCGAGGAAGAAATCTGCGCAGCGGTTTCTTCTTGTAGAGCTGTTTTACAGCTCGAATGCTGCCTTGGTCCAAGGGCTGGGCAATCACTGTTGTGTCTGGTGGCAGAAACGCCAACTTCACAGCTGTCAGGTTGTCCAGGACGACGTGCGCCGAAGCATTGTCTAAAATAATAACAACTCTTCTGTTCTTAGCCGCAAAACAACGATCGATGAGGCGCACGTACTTCTCAAAAAGTTTTGCCGTCATCAATGCTTTGGTGTTGCTGCGATAGAAGACCCCTGATGGCAACTGGGAGTCTTTGAAACTTCTAGGCTTTGCCAACTTTCCGATCATGAGGAGCGGAGTTTTGTCGGTTCTAGTCATGTTAACGCAAAACGCCACTGATATTCTGTATTTTGCATGCTTGCCGCCGGTGCACGTCTCGCCTTTGAACGCGAGCGTTTTGTCTGGTAGCAACTTAAAGAATAGTGCCGATTCATCCATAATAAAGATATCATCAGGTGCGTAGTCTTCCAAGATGTTCTTCAGCTGACCATTTCACCACTGCTCCGCGCCATCCACGTCAGCAGCAGCACCTTCTCCCGAAGGAGTCCTCGTGGTAATGCCGTGCCTCGCCATAAATCTGGCCAGCCAGCCATTACTGCACATGAAGTTGTCATGGTTGAGCTGCGAGGCAAAAACCAGGGCCTTCTCCACGAGCAGGGGTCGCTGATAGGCAGATTTTTTGACCGTGCAGCTTTTAGCCACTTTACCAGCGCCTCCTCTCCATCCGAAAACGCCGAACCGCGTAGCCGGCACCTTTTCGCAGTTGCAGCAGCACTGCCAAGCAACTTCTCTTTGGAATTCCTAATTCCACACACCGTGGTTAACGGCAGGTTCTTTTCGCGTGCCAGCGCCGATTTTTTCGTGCCACTTTCAATAGCACGAATGATGTCCAATTTCTCCTCTATTTTCAACACTCGATGCTTTTGTCCCAGCTTCGGCATGACGCAAGTACGAAGCAGCACTAGCACACATACACAACACGTGAAAAATGACGCGAGAGCTGTACGGCACGGATCAACCAGGGAACACCTATGCACGGCGCCAAAGGAACAAAGAAAGCAAAGCAAGCGCACACCGTATTTGCATGTTTGTGCAAAGCGCCATCGCGTGGACAACACCAGAAGCCTAGCCGGCCGAGCGCTTCTTGTTGCAGAAAAATCCAAGAGATGGCGCTCACCAACACAGCCGCCATCATCATCAACACAAACAAGCGAGGCGTGTTTCGATCTCTGGGGCTTGCTGTTCTGTCGGGACGCCCATTGGGGGACGACATGCCGCGGCAAGTGCGCAACGAAAATTGGAAAAACTACTTGTTAACCGATACATACAAGATAAGCTGGTACGGCTTATGTGGATACAAAATGCATTATGTTCAATGATCGCCAAGTCGGAGATTTGACTACACTACTTTTAAAATGAAACTACTGTTTACGCGGGTACGGTTTAACGAGGTTTCACTGTACTAACACACCGCATGCTGATGGAATCGCTGCAGTGCTTAAGGCATGCGAGGATTCTTGCCTCGAGAAACCAATCGATAATTAAGCCCTACAATTGCTATTGAAGCCTATTCTCGAACTCAATAATTTTTAATTTAATAATTGTCAATACACTCAGATTAGTGACACGTCAATGGGAACCCGAATAGGTCCTACTTATGCTAACATTTTCATGGGCATTCTAGTAAATAATTATCTGTCCAACACTGACCTTATCCTTGGTATTATAGACGGTTTATAATGATATATTCTTAATTTGGGCAAATGGGGAGGACATACTCTTAAAATTTATAAATAGATTCAATAATTTTCATCCGTCAATCAACCTTTCGTACAGCTATTCAACAACTTTCTGGATGTCACTGCTGCGCTTTCCGAAGGAAAATTGCTCACAAAATTATATCGCAGACTTACTGATAGAAACCAGCTTCTCCATTTTCAGAGCAGTCATGTGCGACATTGTAAGACAGGTACACCTTATAGTCAGACTTACTGATTGTGTTCAGACCGCGAAGATTTCCTATCTAACTGCGAGCATCTTTAAAGCACTCTCATTTAGCGATGGTAGCCAGCGGGCTTAGCTGATGACGCTATAGACCAAGCAGACCAATTGGATAGATCCGACATTTTTAGCGGAAACGGTTTGCCTGAACGTGCTGGCACTAATGTCGTATTAACTTACTCGACATCAGTGCCAAAGGTTCTTTCCATACTTAAATGCCACCACAACATCCTTAACCAAAGTGATCATCTGAAAAATATCTTTCCTGAATCACTTCGCGTTGTTTACCGGCGCTCGAAGAATCTCCACGATAAGCTAATATCGTCAAAATTAAACGAACCCACAACATCTGGTTGCGCACCTTGTAACAAACCACGCTGCTAGGTTTGTCTACATATGCAAACCACTCAGGAAGCCGTTAATATGTCGTCAAACTTCATTCTTAAAATTCGCTGCTCCTTTAATTGCAATATCTCTAACGTTATATACATGCTCGAGTGCGCCGCTTGCCAAGAACAGTATATTGGCCATACAGAAACATCGTTCCAAATATGCTTCAACAACCATAGATTGCATATCAATACGCTACTTAACCTCTCGCTCTCAAAACATATTCGCTTACCAGGGCACTCTTTCGAAAAAAATAGTGTCACTATACTTGAATCGAGCTTTCATTCTCACCATGATCAGGAAATTCCCGAATCGTACCTCTTCTACAAATTCAACACCGTGTCATCAGGTATAAACAAAAATACAGGCACGCTTTCTAGCGTGCCCACCAAGCATTATCAGCCTTAACCCACGGCCCGTAGCGTCATTGGTTAAGCTTGTTGGATTCTGTCTCTAATGTTTGTGTTATTGTGTATATTTGTGTATCCAAGGTTTACAGTCGCTTGCGTTGATTAATCGCTGCCGCTATCACGAATGTGGATGCAAGACTGTATTTGAATGCGCGCGCGCAATAAAAGTATGAACTACTCATTTTATTCATATCACAATGACTGAGCTGTGTATGTGACGCACAATCTGACTAATATCACGCAGTGTTTTGATATTTTGATATTCATGCTTTCATGTTTTATCATCTGTCTCCGGTTCTTGCAGAGTTATGCTGTGTGCGTGAAGTGATTTCTGTTCTTTAGTGTTTTACATTTCTATATATCTAAGTTTTTTTGCATGATAACTAACTGTACCGTCATGAACACTTCACGCTATGAATTGTCTAATCACTGATATACGCCGTCAATCTGTATTATCCCATGTGAATCGTCTTTATAAGCAAACACGTTGACATGTACTTGTTACTTTGACAAAGGCTGGTCCACCAGCCGAAACATCAGTCAGCAAGTATACCATGCAAAACCAACGTGTGTCGTACTCTATTTTTCCTTATTCTACCGGGGCCAGCGTTACTTCCTTGCTGCAACTATATTTGCTGTTAGGAGCACACTCATTATGGTGGGAAGCCTCTGTATAAAGCATGGTGTTTGTGATATCAACTTCCGATATGTATATCCATGCTTTGTGCATGCATTGGTCGATTATATTTAGCCTTCGCACTACTGTTTCCCACCTTATTTGAAGCCTCATTTATCAATCATATGTCACCCTTGTAAGTGCGCAAAAGGTGCAAAAAAGAAAAGCACAAAAGCATTCACCAATAATCATCTCACATGTACTATCGGTCTTGTTTCGTAGGCTAAATGATTCAGTCAATTAGCGAAATTGTAAATTGTTGCTGTCACATTGACTTAGTCTCCTCTTCGGCCAAACTGTGGCTTTGTTTTACGACATGATGTGCACTTTTTTACGTGTCACATCACAAGGATCGCATCGATTTTTTTCTTTTCTTTTCTTTTCTCGTATGATGCAGAACGGAGTCACGCAGGGTACATGAAGCTGAACTGGAGCCACTGGACCAGACTGCACTCGACGTCAGGCTATCTTCTGAAGGTGAGTTTGTGGTATGACGAATGTGACAATGGATAATGATAGGAGATCCCGGCGGCGTAACCACGGTGGTAGAAGCTGGCATATAATCTGTACGACTCAGCACCGACTTCAATACCCCTTATTCATGTCAACAGATGTTGCATAAACTAACGTCACTAAAGGGACCTTGAAATGCTTTTTCAGGTAACCACAGAATGAATTCACTGGAAAAGCTTATTGCCTCACGAATTCAATGCAGCAAAAATTTTAAGAATATATCCAGTGCGAGTGGAGTTACAGAGGTTTGTCGCATGCTGCAATTGCATTATCTCTTCTCTCGCCCCAATCAAAGCGCTGGAAGCTAAGCAGGGAGAGATGGCAGGGCCACAGAAAAACGTCACACGTGGCTTGTGGCCTTGAGAACTTTTCTTTCCTTTTTTTTTCTTCGAATGCATCGCTTTTTCGGTGTGATTGCGCACGCACGCATGGAAAGTTGCGGCCGCCCGTGGCGATCTTTGTAACGAGCGAGCGCGACATCTTCAAATCAGCCAATGGCTGATAGATGGGTAATTCACGTGTGATTTTGGGCATATTCCGCCATTTGTTGAGAGAAGAGAAAGCAATTTTTAGCTGACTTTGATAATTTATTGTGAATTTCAGGCCGCGTGCTGTGCTATAATATTTGGCTCGCGTGTTGTCGAAAAATGTATGGGTGGAGGGACCTTAGTCAGGCAGAGGTAATCTGCCTTTAGTCCCTTCAACCTAGGCAATCGTCGTTTTTGTCTGAATAAACAGTGAATGAATGAGTAAATGAAAACCTCTACTACCGATCGGCAGCATTTTCTGAGCATGCTGAAAAAGTGTTGCAGGGCACCTTTAAGAGGCACAGTGAAATGTGCATCTTTGCTGCTGACTGCTGCGGCAGATCTTGCTAAGTGAACTGAGCCAGGGCCATCATATAATGTAAGAGTTTTTCTGTGGTACAAGAACTGAGGGACACTTTTCTTTCAATTCCAAGAACTTCTTCTGGATCATTTGCTTCCTGTTTTCTGAACATTCAGTAAAAGTCTATAGCAAAAGCAAAGTTGTTACAAAATGGATGATTCTGATTTTAAGCAAGTGTTCTATTTGATGCATATCATTTTAGAGCATAGGTTTACGTAAGATAAAGGCCAATTCATAGTCGCAGTAACTGATGAAAATTAATTTAATGAGTTCAAAGAAAGAACACAGTCTTTTTGAGAGTAGCCGAATCGTTGCTGTGCACCTGGTAGAGCAGATCTGGACCACCCACTTCTTTCTACGTGGCCTCTGAGACCAGCTTTGGCAGTAGGACGAAATGTGATGCTAACTAGAGAAATACACCGAGGAGCATGAACACTGACGTACAGTTTCCACTACCACACACCTGTGATAAGTATCAGAGTCCATTTTTGTCTCTTTGTTAATTTTTATGCTGTGTCCTTTAACGTTTGCCGTAACTATAGTATTCTGGGTTAAGTGCTGCTGTATGACTTAATGCTTACAGTTGACCGCATGTTGCGCGGCACCACTGCCACGTCGCGCCCGGCGGGCTGGGCCGGTGGCACTAGCGATTCGGAAGGCAGCAACCGGTCGGGAGACACGAGTCCTGCTGCCAGCCCGCAGGCGTTGGCACGAACCATGCTGCTCACTGTCTCATCGGGAGACGAGCTGGACACCGACCACGACAACGGTATGTGCGTGACTTCCACACAGTTTTTCATTTCGGCTGTTTTAGATGCGAAGCAGCTTTTGCCTGGGGCTGTGTCTGTCCCTCGGCGACCGCTTCTCTCCCACTGCATATGCGCCAAATCTTTCCCCTCTCCTTGCGTGAGCCTGAGAAGGCAGCAGAGTGCTGCCTTCGCTTTGTTTCTCTTCTCCTATTTATCTCTCTGTCACAGCCGTGCGCTCGTATATAATGTTGCGCACTGTCGCTTCGTTTCACTCTCCTAGCAGCGCTGAGTGTTCACTTGACGGCACACACATGGTAATACACACAAATGGCAGGAAGGTAACATAAACAATACACAACATATACAAAACTCCACACACAAGTGAAACATATGCGGAAACATGTAAATGGAAACAGTAGTGAACACGAGTGCTGCTTCGCGTTCACACACGGTTCAATTTAGTGGGAGACAGTATAATGTTTTGCCCCACCACCTTCTTTTTATTGTGACAGCTAATGATCACTCCAAGCGAAAATCAGCACGTGATGTCGACGTCACCGTGATGTTCTATGAAACGCAAAAATGTAATTTATTCCATGTCATGATGTCAGAGACAAGCATTTGAGGGAGTGCTATGTCCTCACAGGTCATGCATGAATAGGGGATATGACGTTAGTGTAGAAAAAGAAGGTATTAGTATTTGAGGTTTTGGGAAGGAATGTAAAGCAGCACTGAAAGTTGGTCCCTATATCTTGCATGCAACTACTCAAACGATCAGCAAGAGCTGAATGACTGCATATGCACTTAGTTAGTCATCAAATAGCTGTCTCACTTATCTGCTTTTTGTCTTACTGATCACTTAATACCAACTCACCTGTAACACCTACCTGTTGAATCATTGCTTTTTGTCGAAAGGAAGGGCCGAATGTAGCATAGTCACATATGTGCGGGTGTGATTCTTTTTTGTTGCAGAGCGAGCGGCAGGGCGACCCATGTGTCTATCCCTGGCCGCCGAGACGCACTCTTTCCGCAAGCTACGCACGCCTTCTCGCTGTCGAGAGTGCGACTCCTACGTCTATTTCCAAGGAGTCGAGTGCTCGGAGGTACAGGAGTCACTTTGCTTTGTGGGCATGAGTGCGTTTGCTGCATGTATGCTTCTCCGCCTTGTGGGCATCTGTGCGTTCTTTTGTTCTGTCTTATATGTTTAAAATGGCCGTGGAGAGTAAGATTTTGACCATGCTGCACATGTGCGATGCGTGAACTGAAAAAAAAAAAATAATTCTAGCCAGTTGGAATCCCTCAGACAGCAAAACTGCGGCAATTCGATCCCTTTAAATCTCCTCTTCTGTTCTTCCTAGTAACTTATCTGGGAGTCATATCTGTGTTGTTTCTTTATTCAAGCTAAGTCGCGTCTTCAGTTCCAGTCGACAGCAGTGGGGGATGCAGTTTACCTGAAGCCTTTCTCTCTTTCTTCTAAATCTTTTCCTGTCACTCTGGTTTACTTTGTCATTTCAGTTGCAGCAACTCTCTCAATCCACTGCTCCCAGCTCCCTTCTCAATGCAAGGCAGGCAAAGGTTGCTGAGAACACATGGATTATACATACAGATTTATGTGTGAATTTATGAGTAGGTAGATCCCCCTAGATACCATATTTACATGATTGTAAATACGGTATCTGTCGCAGTCCCCTCAAATTGCATTGTAAAAAAAAGAGAAAATAGGTATCAGCGCATTTCATAAACGAAATCTATTTACAGTGCTGATGGATATAACAAACTCGAATTTAGATGCGCAAAGATGGGATCTGCCACAGTGATCTAGTGGCTAAGGCACTTGGCTGCTGACCCGCAGCTCGCGGAATCAAATTCCAGCCGCTGGGACCACATTTTTGATGGAGATGCAAATGCTTGAGGCCAGAGTGCTTATATTTAAGTGCTCGTCAGAAAATCCCTGGTGGTCGAAATTTCTGGTGCCCTCCACAACGTCGTCTCTCAAAACCATATGGTGGTTTTGTGGCGTTGAAGAACAACAATTATTATTATTATTATTATTATTATTATTATTATTATTATTATTATTATTATTATTATTATTATGTCATTGGTATTTTTATGTGCAAGGATAGCTTCAAAGCATCACTATAGAGCTATGCAAAAAAGATAGCCTTGTGGCAATATGCATGGGTTATTGTTAGACAATATTCTGAGATTTGTGTAAATCGCATTCATACGGTAGTCATGCACAGGTATGTAGCTTGATAGATAAGCACAGATATACAGACAAGCAGACACATTATACATTATTGTGCTTTCCATCGCAGTGCGGCCTGTCCTCACACAAGAAGTGCCTCGAGACCCTGGCCATCCGGTGCGGCCACAAGCGGCTGCCGCGCAAGATGACCACCTTCGGCGTCGAGCTTGGCGGGCAGCCGGCGGACGAGGTGCCCTACATCGTGCGCCGATGCATCGCCGAGATGGACGCGCGAGGCTACGGTGTCCGCGGTCTTTACCGTGTTTCCGGGGTCAAGTCCTAAGGTGGAGCGCCTGTGCCAGTGCTTCGAAAACGGCGCCACCCTGGTCGACCTGAGCGACTCACCCCCGCACGTGGTCGCCAACGTGCTCAAGCTATACCTGAGACAGCTGCCCGAACCTCTGCTCACCTACCGTCTCTACCCGCACTTCATCGCGCTGGCCAAGGTACACACTTTTTGTACCGCTCGCTTTTACTGTACACACTCTTCAAAAGTTCGTCGCTGACCGTTTCAGCCAAAAAAACATTTAGAAATATCGTAATCTCGAAGCAGTCACCTAAGTAATATGCTCAAACAGACACGATACAAGTTCATTGTAAATCCGGTTGATATCGACTCAGAATTCTGGGTCTCCTACATTTAAGGTTTTTTCAATGTATTACTGCAACTGTAATAGTGCGTTCGAAAGGTGAGGCACTGCTAGTGATATATATGTGTAAGATGGTTGGGGACCCGTGGTTTTTTTTTTTCAGTTATACATGTCACCGTGAATATTTGCGCATTGATTTAAATTATGCTCGCCGCAGTGGTATAGGAGTTGCGGGGTCCTGCTGCCGACCCGGAGGTCGTGGGTTCGATCCCGGAGGTGGCGGTTCGCATTTTGATTCATGAAGGCGAAATGCTAGAGCCCTGTGTGATGTCAGCGCATGTTATAGGACACTGGGTGGTCTCAATTTCTGTAGCCCTGCACTACTGCGTCTCTCATAATCGTATCAGGGTTCTGTGGCATAAAACATATATTATTATTGTTATTATTATTATTATTATTATTATTATTATTATTATTATTATTATTATTATTATTATTATTATTATTATTATTAAACTACCGAGCATGGTGCCGGGCGAGGACAGGCAAATATGAATGCATCTCATTGAATGACCACGAAAACTGCTGTAAATAATGCGAAAAGGTGCAATTAAATGCTTCGCTTTGACTCTGGTATCTGTAAAATCACGCAAGCTGCTAAATTAGGCACCCGGAAGCAAAACAGATGAAGGGACCTGTCATCGCTGTTCGCTCATGCAGCTTTAGAATGACCACAGATTGCTTGAAGATGGGGCTTCCATGCCGCCTTTACGGCTACCGCTGCGTGGAGTGACAGCTCCATAGATCCTGGTGACTGTGATAAAAAAAGAGAAAGAGATGCATGCCTCAGCTGCATTCACGAAATTTTGTCCCGCAAGGGCTGTTTCAAGTGAAGAGCGTAAAAGCCGGGATGAAGGTATGCACAAACTATCAGCGAGTGTTGTCATTTGAAAGGAAGCCTTTCGACTATCTCGTACACGGATTATTTCTGATTGAAATTTGATGCCAGAATTACAACATCTTGTCGATACCATTGTCCAAAATGACTGCAATCTGGACGCCGATTGTGTATTATAGTATTTCTTTCACTTTCATGTTTCAAGAAGTGTAACGACTTGGCATGCACTTTGAAAACAATTATTTAGGGCAGTCATGCATGTGTAGCTCATGAACATAAAAAAAGTGTGGGGTCAAGACAGCCATGGGAGGGCCGTGGGCGGTGAGTTTGCGAACCCTGTTTAAGGGGAGATGCGGGTCGAAAAACGAGAATTTTCTAAAAAATTGTCGATTTTTTGTTTTCACCTGTTTTGTTAAGAATAGTACCTCTACTATTCTGAAAAAAAAATCTATGTCGAGAATCAACTGGAAATGCTTTAAAATTGCGTCTGAAGAGCACAAGGTGGCTCTCAAAAGGCCGAAAGTGTGTCATCTTCGAGCACCTTGCCGCTGATAATGCGCCGCTGCTCGCCATTGTCGACCGCATGAGGCGAAGAACCGAGCCTCACTCTTCAAATAGCGACGGTTTCCCGCGCTGCTGCAACGCAAGAAATAATAAAGAGAAGCGCGATTTTGCCGCCTTTTTCGAGCGCCGCGACTGGCTTTTAAATCACGTGGTACGGATCTGGAGCCGCCATTGGCCGCTGCGCGCCTGTGTGTGCTGTGAAGCCTACTTGCAGGATCCGTGTCTCGTCGAGCAGCACAGCTGAACAACGCTTTTCTCGAGTGCTTATTCGTTATAGATGAAGAAAGCCGTAGGAAGCGCGATCACCGGCCTGTGAAGTTTCACGCAGCGCACAAATTTTGAGGACGCCGGCGCAAATCAAAGCCGAACACTCAAACCACGAAAAAATTGTCTGCTGCCGCAAAACGTAGTGGCAATGACGCCGATGCGCCCGATGAGTTTGCCGCGGCATTCGAATATGTGAGTGCCTCCCAGAAAAAGATCGGACTCTTCGAAGACGAAGAAAAATCACAGGACGATGAGTCTTCGTTGATTGCTGATGTGACAGCACTGAACATGCTTGTGCACGATGCAATGTGTCCGACGTGTCGCCATTTGGGATTACGTGTCCGGGAACCGGCCGACAAGCGGAAAGGACTTGCGTCGTTCGTCGAGCTCCACTGCCCAAACAGTGAGTGCCCTGAGACTATTCTTTCGGCGACATATACTTCGCGGCGAGTAGCTTCAGGCGGGGAGGCCAGCGTGAGCGTGGCGGGTGACGGACTGACCGCGAGGAGAACATACGACAGCGGGAGCTCGCGCGATAGCTACGCTGTCAACGTGAAAGCTGTTGTGGCGGCGCGCTCTGTAGGCATAGGCTACGAGCCGTGAGGGCCAAACCTATGGTGCTGGCGCATTTTAATGGCAGTGGCCACTACAAAGGAGGATTTTTCTTTCTTGTGTACAAATTTCGTCACATTCAATGACATGTTTGATAAATAAACATGCAATTTTGACTTTAAAACTTCTTTTTCTCAAAACACAAATTTTGCCATTTTTGTCAATGTGCCCCTCCTTTTTCGGGTACTTCTGGTGCTCAGATCTGCATGAAATTTTTCCCAAATTTTTTCCAAAGTACGAGAAATGCAATTATCTTGTTTAAGTTTCAATATTCTTTTTATATAATAAAAAGAGTTATGTAAACTTTTACTAGGGTAGGAGAAATATGAACTTCCCACGTTAAAATTTTTCACGTCTAGTACATATTTTGTATGGACTTCCAAATTAGTTGTTTGCATTCCACACTTCATTTGAAACATTATGAACTATCAATTGTAAAAAATTAATGAAGTTTAGGTATGAAAAGAGGGGGGGCAAAGGGCTTAAGTTTTTCACTTTGTCATGTTGCAAAACTAAAAGTATGCAACTTGCAAGACAACTCCGTATATATTCGAAATCAGCATAAAAAGTTCTATAAGCACCTCAAGTTTCATTGCTCTCGAATGAATATTAAAAAAAAGTGTCTTCGACCCGCATCTCCCCTTAAACGCATCGCTGTCTGTCTGAGGAACAACAACAACAACAATAAAATGCCGTAGTGTATTTCATTCTGCTATGGTGCACTCAGCACTGATAATTCTCCGACTTGCCCCCGCGTGCTTATCTCCCTTAAAATTTTCCGATGCACTCGTCTGCAGCTCCTTTTTCTCTTGGCCAGTGCTTGTATACAACGGACTCCACGCCCGCATTTTTAAATGCAAATGCATTTCTTAGACGGGTTATGCCACGCATTCATCGGGATCCATCGATCACCCTCTTCCTTAGCAACCGGAACTCCCACTATGTCATGCGTCAGCATCAGCAGCTGTCAGCAACATCTGCGGGCGCATGCGCTTATCCTTGCCCCTAGCAACCGAAGCCTCAACCTACTTGACTTGGACGTGACTTGCCACCGCCTCAATGCAGTGCGTTTGAAACGCGTTTGTAGCATTCGTGCTTTCAGCATTTGTGTAGTATTTTTGTTGATAAGATGCTTGCATTATTGCCATCGGGTACAAAGACAGGTGCAGTGCTTCACCGGTACTTCTCTCACCGTTCCCTCTCTCTCCTACGTGCACCCATCTTTCTCGTCTGCTCGCGCCTCACTCTCAACTGTTCCGTGGATGAGCGTCTCTCAAGAACATCCGGAAGTGTGTGCTCGAGACGCCGCTGCGAAACGGCAACGCCAAGCCGAGAACACTTCATAGTATTTTTTTATCGTGCACTGCTAGCTACTAGAGCTGGAAACGCATAACACGTTTCTCGCGGCAGAAAAACGCCACATGTGGCGAACGGCGCTATTGTCTGCACGGTATAAAAAACATTATTCTTCTAATGCTTGGTTCTCACATGCGAAACACCGTTATGGAGACTATGCAATGCATTCACATTTCTTGTGATTCCCTTAGAGAGAGTGGGGGCGTTTTTTGGTCAGCTGCCAGTTCTCAATAAGATCACGTGCTGCGAAATGGTTAGATTGGGACGTTAACGCCAAAAAGTGTTGTGGTGTGGCTCAGCGATTCCCAGTTATGCAAGTGAAAGCTTTAAAACAAAACCTCATGCCTCTGAGCCACCAATAGATGCCCACGTGCTACTCTGCTAGCAGATGCGCGCGCTTCTTGTGTTTTAACTTTGGACGCTGCGGAAAGGCGTTGGGAGAGATAGCCCGATGAGCCGATGAACACGCTCACTTTAGTCTCGGGTACAACTGCTAGGATACAACTAAATCTTGAGTGGAGTGTCACGGGGTATCCGTTCTTTGTTTGATTACACTGATGATGATGATGACGACTTCAGAAGGATGGCGCTCACCCACAAACGGGGATTCTTTTTTTCTTAAAGGCCATGCGGTGATAAACAGCGAAACTCTCTTGACTAGGCCGGTAAAGTTTTTGCTTTAATGTACCCCAGGTGATCTAACTTTTCAGAGACATCAACTACGGCGTTTCACAAATATTACTATCAAACTTCAAATATCAAGATGGATGTTATTGAGCATTAGTGAGCAGCTTGTTATTGAGCATTAGTGCTCAATTACAAGCTGGTGCAACGGGTACTGAGTTGCTTGCTTTGTAAGCAGACAGAACCACTGCATAGACGAGTATCCCTTAGGAGGTGATAATGGTCATGGGTGATGACGTGCGTGCGCAGGAGCATCCGGGTGGGACCAGCGTCCCCCACCATCACCACCATCCGGAAGAGGATGAAGAAGACTTGGGAGAGGACGACAAGGACGAAGGCGACCATCATCACGACGACGAAGAGGAAGAGGCCGTGGTGGCAGCACTGCGATCACTGGTGGCGCAATTGCCGCCTCTGCACGCGCGCACCCTCGCAGCACTGCTGCGTCACTTGGCGCGTGTGGCGGCGCACTCCCACCTCAACCAGATGCCTGCAGGAAACCTCGCCATCGTGTTTGGTCCCACCCTTTTACGAACGAGGCAAGTATTGATGGACACAGGAAGACGCATGTGTAAACTGATACTATAACAGATTCAAGAGGAGAAACATTAAAAACTAGTTTATTATGTGTGAACGTGTGCCCTGAAAACTAGGTGCAAAAAAAATGAATGAGTCCGCTAGAGCATTTCGAAAACAGAACTGTTCATCAGCGAGCGCGTCTCCTTTTTTTTCGCAGGTCAAACCCACACTGACTCGTGCCCGTGCACGAGAGGCATGACTTGCGCTGCCAGAAGCACGAGCGCGCGTGAGACCGTGGACGTTGATCCTTAATTCATAATGCCGGATCATGTAGTTAGTTTCTGTGGCATTAGCCCCATTTGAAATAAGCATCGTCCTGATGCGGGATGGGGGGAGGCAAACAAGGAAGCTTTTTCATTGTCTCTCATAATAGGGTTTCATACGGATAATGTGGACAATTTCCACACTGTTTTACTTTTGCTATACCTTCAGAGTCAACGAATGCTTCATTTCGTACACTGACCATTAGGCTGTATCGGGGTGGCACGGTAACATCACAATCTACAACACGTGATGCAGTATACTCAGGCTCCTTTGTGTCTATGGCCAGTTTCATTAAAAATGAGACACTGAAATTCTGCAGGTTGATTATACCTCCGTTTGCTAGGAGAAAATCCATTCCCACTATTACATCCCTAGATTACTCTCAAAGTAAGACAAAATCTTCAACGTAAATAGCACTGTAAATTCCAATTTTCGCTGTACATCTTCCCAGAGGTGTGATGAGATGACCGCCAGCCGTACGTATGTATTTAGGCTTCACTCCAAGGCGTCAAAACTTTCTTTAAATCCTTTACGGCAGCATAACTGAAAACCGAATAATCAGCACCTGTGTCAACTAAAACGTTCAATTCACACCCATCTATGGTTAAGCGCAAGTCTGAAGAAATTTTGTCTTTACTTGACTTAGTCTTCGTATTCCGCTTATTATTGCTGTACTGGGCCCTTGACGGAGGATCTTCAGTTGGTCGGACATCAACGACCTTGCCTCCCCAGGTCGCTGGCTTCAGTTTCCCTGACGGGGACTGCCTGAACGATGGTGTGTTAAGGTTGATGATGGAGAAGGTGAACTTCATCCCCGAGGGCTTGGTGATCTATAGCGAGCAGGCACTGGTGATCTAGGCTGATGCGGGAAACCAGCTCTTGAAAACGAACGATTGCATAAGTAATCTTTTTGCATCAAGTGATGCAGCTTTTTCTCTTCGGTCATGTTCGGGTTGGCGCGTCTGAAAAGGCGGGACATGTCTTCAATATACAGCCGTCAACACCTTTAACACGAACGCTTTGTCGCGTGTCCTGCAGCAGTTTGATTGACATGTTGACACCACGTATGTTTGGGTTTCGTTGGTTAGGTGCTAACCATAGATGCTGACATACTATCCAAGCCTACCGAGGTATTACCTCGGCAAAAGTTTCCAGCATTTCGTGGCTTGCATCAATCAAACTAGCCCAATCAAAAAAAGTGCTGACAGCTGTACGTGCAAACACTCTCGTTGGTGCACTAGTACCGGGACTGTAGAGCAATATCTGCCTTCTCCCGGCGATTGGTGCTGGCATACATAGCTACTATTTGTCGTCGAAACTCTTCTGATGTCGGTATGACCGCTTCGTGGTTTTCATACCACATCCTCACTGCATCCTCCAATGCGAATTACGCGCAACGCACTTCCCTGCCTCGTCTCAGCCGTTGGTTTTCGCAACCCACTTGAAGTGTTCTAACCAATCCTCTACATCTTCAAACGCGTCACTGTGGAAGGGCTCACGCATACACGGTAGGGACAGGATAAGTTCCAATGCTGTCACCTGGCAAGCCATCATTTTGTTGTTATCTGTGGATGCTGCCTGTGTTGCTGGAGCACTGGGGAGAGATCCAAATTCAGGCGGCTCTCCTCAAAGGCGGCGGCTTGAACACTGGTTTACTGGAGTCAGTTTACTAGGTTACAATCGGCAAGGGTCGGAGCTCCGCTCTCTTGCACTAAGGAGGCTTTCAATCATACCCAGCACCTCCACCAGATATAACAGATTCAAGAGGAGAAACACCAAAAACTAGTTTATTATGGGCGAACTTGTGCCATAAAATCTTGGTGCAAGAAAATGAATGAGTCCACTAGAGCGTTCCAAAACAGAACTGCTCGTCAGTGAGCACGTCTTATTCTTTTTCGCAGGTCAAACGCACACTGACTCGTGCCCGTGCACGAGAGGCATGAGTTGCGCTGCCAGAAGCACGAGCGCGCGCAAGACCGTGGAGGCTGATCCTTAATTCACAATGCCGGATCATGTAGTTAGTCTCTGCAGCAATATATCATCATCGAGTGTAGCGCCATGGGGCATATATATGGGATACTCCTCCCAGTCATAAGAAAGGGACTATTCATGATGGCTTGAATAGTTCAACTCTGTTTTTTTTGTACTTTTGTAGCTCATAGTAAAGAAAAGAAAAAAATGGCGATATTTCTTTAAAGCCTACAAGCGAGCGTGGTTCGGCACCACACTGAAGGGAGTAACCAGCAACTGTAAGAATATGGTTACTTGGCGCAAAACAAAGCAGTTAGAGAGATGTTGAAAGGGGAAGCGCTAATTCTTCCCTTACTAATTTCTAACGTTACTATTGTTGTCGCTCTCCTTCTTTGTTGGTAGTTGGTACAAAGCAATCGTATTTTTTATTGCAACAGCAATAATATGGACATTCAAGGGAGAGTTAGAGACTTAGGGACTCAAGACCTTGGGTTTAAGACTTGGAGACCCTAGACAATGGGTCCCCAAGGCAGGTAGGGTAGCGCGCCCTTGCGTTCAGAAGATCCGCAGAAGGAGAACTGTTTCAAACGCAAGATGCGTTAGGTCAAACACACACGGTGCTATACACGGCGAAAGTAAAGTTATCTGACACGCCGACCATACTGTGTCGTGGCCCGCGCTGTGTCTGCACCATCTCGCTGGTAATCCAAGACGCCTGGAGACCCACGCTAGCTTTCGATATATGGGTCTAGGATCTACGTGAGTGCTAGCGTCCAAGAGTTGCTCATGATCTGCGCATGCGCTCTGGGGGCTCAAACTTTTCTCTTGTCGCCGAGTTCGTTGAGGCCCTGATTTTTAAGCTCTCCTTTGCCATCGACGCCATCGTCATGTTCTCTATAAAGTCCAAATCAATAGCGTAACTCCTCGCGTCATCTGTTCTGTGTGCAAGTGAAACTGCGCGATCAATGCTGACAAATGTGGCTAAAATGAGATGGAATGAGCCGGGCGTGTACGTGGCGCACGAAAGACGCTTGGAAGCTGTAGCCAAAGGGGATCTGCATGCAACTATTGTCTGACCCGCCTGGCATGATCGCCCTTGATCGCAAGCATCATCGTTTCGCTGTCATAGATCAACAGAGGGCTCATATACTTTTGCCCATGTTGTGCTTTCTTCACCAACTGTGCTGCTTGTTTTCAAGAAATCTGGCTCTTCAGTGCAGATGTATTATGGCGTTATGCCTGACCAAGAAAAATGAAATGTGTCACAAAGTTTCAAGTTTCGCTACATCACGTCAGTTGATGCAGAAACTTTGGTGTGGTGGCGCCACTTGCATTTTCTGTTTGCCCGTTTTCTTCATGGGCAAGTAAGTGCTCATGCGGCAAAATTGCCCATCTGTAGCTCTACAAGGGCAGTTAACAAAGTATGAGCGAAACCACTTTTCTCCTTAAGCATTACTAAAAGAATCTCGTTTTAAGATTTCTTGAGTAATACTTATGATATGAGATACCGATGATGAGTAAATGATGATGGTGATGAGGTGGCTGGTCAATCTAATCTTCTCTGCACTGCTCTTCGTAGTGAGGGCAGCGCCTCGCTGAGCTCTTTGGTGGACACGGTGCACCAGACACGCGTCATCGAGCTACTCATCATGTACGTGGACCGCATATTTCCGGACGAGACTCCACGCCACAAACAGGAGCCGCAAGTAGCCGAGGAACACTACACCCTACTCGAGGCTGTCACGCTCAGGCGGTGCTCGTCGGCTGGTGACGGTGAGTCATTAAACGACTGACCACACGCACCCAATGCAGCGCGTCAGCGTGGGGCTTTTTGTCGTGCCGCCAAGTGCTGTATCATATATATAGAGAGAGAAGGTGCGTGACTACGGGAAGTTGCGCACCCACTCTCTTCATAAAGAAAAGGGTGTGGTTCCGCATCAAATAGACATGCATCGACGCGCTGCGGCGGGTACTTGTAGTCGGGCCTTTACTTGTCAAACCTCTCGGAGACATTTTCGCTCAGACCTCATGAAGACATACCGTTTGGCTCTTTTAACACAAGGCAGAAATTATGTCTGCACATGTGTATGCTTGCATATGTAATTATCAACTTGTGTGGCACATACGATTTCACTAAAACCATACGATGTGGTCTGATGTGTGGGGCACAAGGCTAGTGTTATATTGAGGCTGGCCAAGTGTTATGCAGTGAGCAATGGCACCCTCACTGACATCTGTTGCTGATGTGTTCTGCACATACATATGCAGTTGAGTGTACGCTGCCGGATGAAGCGACGACGCAGAGCCAGGACAGTGACGATGCCGCCGAACCTGTTGTACTCGCCAGCCAGTTAACAGGTGAGTGCTGATGCACTGAAATTTGCATCAACATGTAAAGGTCTTTCAGAAGGTGTATTGCGGTCTTTAATATTAAGGAAAAAACTGTATTCTTCGCACATCTTGGAAACCTTGTGAAGGGAAAATTTCGTGAGGCAGTTAATTTAAACACATAAACCTAGAAGCGATGCATAGAAATACATTTATGATCATTCTATAGAGAGGGAACGGTTGCAGAAAGCAAGGATATGTATCAGTGCTCATCCCCCCACCCTAAAGCACTAGCGTCCCCAACTACTGACTCAATTTATTATATTCATATTTGTATTGTCTTACGATTCCCACTAAAATGTTCCGTATGTCATTCCAATAATTATGTATGTTTCCTTATTAATCTCACAGAAAACGTATGGCTTCTCTAAGCTAATATATGGAAGTATTGGAATGGCATACGAAATATTTTGATAAGGATTATGAAACTCACCGACATAAAGTTCAAGTTTTGACTGCTACAATCAAATCGTGTGCCTTTCTCTATAAAGCTTAGGCAAAATTTCTGCCATCTATTGGCCGTCGTGTGCATACTGCCATGTTAAAAGCTCGAGCGCAGCGCAGTCCGCACAGTCCGTGTTTGTTTACGTACATTCAAACCCCGATAAAACAAACTCGGATATAACAAAATATTGCTTATAACGAAGTAATTGGAAAAGAGTCTTGCAATATATACAGTGCTAGAAATAACCTGTATAACGAATTTTTGAGTATAACAAACTTATTTTCTTGTAAGATACAACTTGGTTATAAGAAGTTTTCAGTGTATATGTATACGTAAGGCATGTCGATGTGAGGCGTGTATTGGCTGATATTGCAATGCCAACGTATTGCTGCATCCCTTGTTGCACACAGAAAGGAACTCAGAATGCTGAACAAAGAAAGATAAGCCGTAAACTTTGCCCCTTGTTATTTTTTCAAACTGATGTCATTTTCAGCAATTTCTTCGGCTACTGCTCCTGAAACACGTGTTTGCACTCTCCTTTCTAAGCAAGTAAGACATGCAATAGCATTTGTACTCGTGTACCCTGATATTGCTGCAACTGTGTTTTGCTGCACGCCGCAGCAAAACAGTTTTAGGGGTGAAGCTGCTTACACAGTGGGTCATATGTCCCATGTCGTCGTAGTAGCCTGTTGCATTGCATTGCATGTCAATAAAAACGGTGTCACAGCATATCCTAGGAGTGAAGGATAAGTCGGGCGAAGCATCCGTCAGCCCGTCCGTGCTTCTTTGCGCCCTTTCGTCTGTCTGCTTGTTTGTTTCGTGTTGTTTTGTTTTCTCTTCTGGAAAGTGACAAGCTGCCATTTAGTGAAATGACTTGGGCATGACTGCGAACGTTTTTTAAGGATTTGAAGTGTTCTGCACACTCAACGAAATGCAGGCACATGGAATTAGCTGCAGTAAAGCTTGTTGCACGAACATGACTTGCACAAAGCATACGAGTCACCTTTACTTATTAAATGGCTGCTAGTGAAAACGTTGCAAGAACTGTCTTGCTTTGGCCTGTAGCAGTTTGAGGAAACCGAAGTACAAATGCTATCGCAGGTCTTACTTGCTTAGAAAGGGGAATGCAAACACGTGTTTCGGAAGCAGGAGCCAGAGCACATGCTGGAAAGGTCATCAGCTGGAAAAATAACAAGGGGTAAGGTTTATGGCTTATCTTTCTTCATTTGAGTTTCTCTTTGTGTGCAGCAAGAGACACAGCAATACGTCGGTACTCGCGCTTCACATCGATACGCCTACTCACACATATACGCCTTACTCACACATATTCGTAAACACACGCAGACCGTGCGTACTGCACCGCGCCTCTAACATGGAGACATGCGCATGAAGGCCGACATATGGCAGCAATTTAGATAAGAGCAACAAGGAGCTTTAAGCGAAAAGTGAGAGAGGTGGAGAGGATTTATTGGACGACAGAGATGAAAAAAAAAAAGCTGGCTCTCAGTAACTACCCAAAGGGCCTGAACGAAATAAGATGGGAGAGGAAGGAAAATGGGAAGAAAAGAACGGCAGGGAGGTTAACCAGTCTATAGGCAGCCGGTGTGTTACCCTGCACATGGAAGATAGAGAGGAGAGAGGGAAGAGAGATAAACACAGCACATTAAGCAGCACACGCGCGCACACTCAGTCATAGTCCAGTCTTGTCCTTCATGGTGTGTGACATTGCTGTTACAGCCGCTTATTCAAGTCCGTGTCACATAGGAATTTCAACAGTGCTTTTGTCGCCTTCTGTTGCAATGTCTTCTCTTGGACACTTGAGAGAATAGTGTCCACAGACATTTGGTTGGTATCGATGCACGCAAGAACGGACACCAGTGACTGTCTCTGGATGTCATACAATGTACAGTCACACAGAATGTGGTGTAGCGTTTCTTCGCAACGACAAGCATCACAGAGGGCATTGTCGGTCATTCCTATGATAAATGAATAAAATTTTGTAAATGCCACCCCTAGCCATAAGTGATGAAGAAGGGTGGCTTCTCTTCGGTCGAGCCCAGTGGGCATGCGGAGAGCCATCAAAGAGGACAGGTGGTGTTGACGATTCGTCTGGGTGGTCTGGTTGCTTGGTGGGCACCACAGTGAAAGCGCGATTTCCCGTGCAAGCCATCGAAGATTACTGGCACCGTCGGTCCGCGAAAGTGGTATGGCTTCTTCTCGTGTTCCTTCAAGAGCTGCCCGCGCAGCAGTATCGGCATGTTCGTTCCCTATGACGCCGCAGTGACTTGGCAGCCACTGAAACGTCACATGATGCCCTTTCTTGTGTAAAGTGTGGAGACGGCATCGAATTTCGAAAACAAGCTGTTCGCACTGCCCGTGACGCAGTGCTGAGAGCACAGATTCTAGGGCAGCCCTTGAGTTGCTGAAAATCGACCATTGTTGCAGTGGTTCCCGATTGACCACACAAAGTGCAGCGCACAAAGCAGCTGGTTCCGCTGCTGTAGACGCTGTGGAGTGGTCAGTCCTAAAGATGATAGTAACACCTCTTGCTGGAACAACTACTGCACCGGACAAACACTGGCGGTTCGTGGAGCCATCGATATATATATATGTACACTGTCTGAATATTCCTTGTGCAGAAGAAGCAGAGACAGTTGTTTCAGCATGGGTGACAAAAGCTCAGATTTTCTCCGGATCCCTGATACACTAAGATGCACTGTGGTTCGAATAAGACACCAAGGGGTTATCAATGGTTTATATGCAGGAGTGAAGCCTGAGGGAAGTTTGTCGTTGTACTTCACAATCATTTTAGCGAACAATGCTTGGTGCCTCTCTGAAGGCAACAGTGCAAGGTGATGACAGAGAGCATGCACAAAGTGTCTGATGTGCGTTCTCAGGACTTCTACAGCAATGTGAGTTTGTATTGGATAGTCACCAGCAATTACAATTGTTGCCTCTGTTGATGTACACCTGGGCAGACCAAGGCACACTCTCAGTGCTTGGGCTTGTACTACCTGTAGAACACGAACATTGTTCTTGCAGGTATTGCTCAGCACGGGCAAGCTGTATCTCGGGAAACCGAGAAACAGGGCTCTGTAGAGTTCCATCATTGCGTCTACTGACATCCCCCACGTCTTTCCTGCCAGGAACTTGAACAATTGGGAAACAGCAGTCAGGCGCTTCTTGATATAGGCCACATGCGAACTCCAACAGAGGTCCCTATCAATAATGATGCCCAGTAACCGGTGAATTCTGGCGTGAGAAATGGGTCGCCCGCTCATTGAGATGACATAAGGGGTCATTGCTTTGCGAGTGAAGGCCACCAGCGCGCATTTTTCTGGTGATATGCTGAGACCTTGTTTTAACAAGTAGTTGTCAATCATAGTTGCTGCTCTTTGAAGCCGGGCAAGTATCTGAGGACGTGTGAGTGCCGAAGTCTAGACACAGATGTCGTCTGCTTATATTGAGATTTTAATGGTACTTGGCAAGTTTCAGCAAGGCAGATAAGTGCAAGATTGAATAGCGGCGGGCTAAGAACTCCGCCTTGAGGAATACCCCTGGAAGTATAGCGTCGCGTAGTTGGTCTGTTTTCTGTTAACACAAAGAATTACCGTGCAACCAGGTAACTCGAAATCCACCGAAAGACTCGACCACCAAGGCCAACTACCGCAAGAGCACCCAAAATGGCCTCATGTAGTGCATTATCATACGCGCCTTTTACATCTAGAGACAAAGCTGTAGATAGTCGCTTACAGGATATTTCGTGCTGAATGTGCAAAACTAGATCAACGACATTGTCAATGGAAGAGCAGTCACATCCGAAACCAGGCATGGAATTCAGATAAATCTTGTAGTATTCAAGATACCACTCCAGGCAGCCATGTATCATCCTTTTCATTATCTTTCCTACGCAACTGGCCAGTGCTGTTGGGCGGTATGAGGTGAGTTAGAGGGAGGATTTGCCTAGCTTTAAGATGGGTACCAAGCGGCTTTCTTTCCAGTCGTCAGGAACATTGCCATCCTGCCATGAGATGTTGCAAAGGCTCAGCAGTTCTCTCCTTGCATTTTCCCCAAGGTTGCACAAGGCTTGGTACGAAATACCATCTAGACCAGGAGAATGAATGCCTGCAGAGAGCTAGTGCCACCTCGAGCTCCTCCATTGTAAAAGGAAGGTCCATGTGGTAGTCACGGGAATGAGGGACGTCACCTCTCACTGGAGAATCTGGACGAACAGCTTGGTTGGCGATCTGCGCACAGAAATCTTCTGCGACATCGATGTCTTGCCGCCCTTGAAAGAGCACAAAGCTTTGAATGGAAAACGCTGTTCCGTAGGGTGATTCAGACCTTGCACTGTTTTCCAAAAGTGTGAGAGTGGCTTGCGAGGGTCTAGTGACTGGCAAAAGGTTGTCTATCGTTCTGACGCTAATCTATCTTTGCGAAACTGAATCTTCTTTCGTGTCCTCCTGGCTTCCCTAAGATCGTGAATTGATTTCGTGCGCCGATGCCGACGCTCCGCCCGGCGTCG